AAAAGGGTTCACAACAAAAAAACAAAAAAAAAAAGAAAGAAGAAGCTAAATTCCCATTCAACTAGAAAACAGAAAGGAGTCAAACTGTCGTCTCTGATAAAGATCTAGTATAAAAATTTTATCAGAATTTTTAACCTTAAGATTCTCTAAAAAGTGTAAAAAGATGGCTGTGGAAACTGGTTGTGAGGTACATTGCAAAAGTGAAAAAGCAAAGCAAAAATAACAGTTAAAAAAATCCAATAAACTTAACTGAGAGTTAAAAGGTGAAAAAAAAGGAGAAGAGAAGAAGCAAAAGACAAAGAAACATGACATCTCGAAGTGTTGCCTGTAACGGTAACGACCAAAGACAAAGCCAAGAAAGTGAAGTTGAAAGCAAAATCCTGTTAAAACTGGCGAACATGAGATAAGGATCTTGTTTAAGCATGTTACCCCCTCCAAATAAAAAATCAAGGGCAGGTGTGGATCTAGAAACCACGCACAAAGTCAAGAAAAGAAACCTTCTTTATTGACAAGCACAAGCTGGCTAATTGGCCTGACCTTATAAACCAAACCCAAAACTAAGACCAACCCAATTAACTGCAAACAAGAAAACTCAGCTGAGAGAGAGAGAGAGAGAGAGATGGAGAGAAGCAAAGTGATGATGGTGGTGGTGGTGGCAGCTGTGGCATTCGCCTTGGTGGTGATGGTGCCACAGGCTGATGCTACAAGGTACATTGTGGGAGTAAACATGGGGTGGACTACAAATGTGAATTACACTATCTGGGCTCAAGGCAAGCACTTTTACAATGGTGACTGGCTCTGTAAGTTCTTCTCTCTTGTGTGGATTCTTTCTTCTTTAGATCTACTTGGTGTACCTTTCTTCTTCTACTGTTTTTATTGCTCTTTGAGTGGTGGGTACCTCATTTGCTTCAAAATTTTTGCTTGTTTTTTGGCGTATTTGGTTGCTAAATGAATAGATCTAGATTTGGGTAGTTTGAATGAATTGATAGTCTCAAATCTTGACCTTTCTCTTCGTTTCCTGGAAAGCTACAGCTTACCTGCTGCTTTTAGTAGGTTTTTGCCTACTGATAGTTGCATACTTTAGTTTTCGCTGTTACTCACCTTGTTGAACTAAAAGCAAAAGTAAACTTTAATCAAGATTTAAAAGAACAGAGTTTTCATTTAAAAGTAAACTTTCTATAGCTGCCCAGAAAATGCAGGGAGAGTGAAGGAAAGTGAAATAAAATTTACATTTGTTACTTTATTTTTCATGTGATGCTCAATAAAGGATTTTCTAATTTAATCCGATTAACATTTTCTAAATATATAGTCCTGGCCATCCTAGATCTGGAAATTTTACTTAGTATCTTCTAGTATTTGTTTACTACAAAGAGGAGCTCATTGTCTACTTACCTTCCTTTCATGAAGGTTGCAACATGTTCTAGTATCAGTTGAAAAAGTCCTATCTTTTGTTCCTTTTAGCTTCATTTTTTTATGATTTTCACTCAATCACCATCTTTTGGTTCCAACTTTTATCTATCTGTTCCACGACAGTGTAACATATATCTGGTGGTCTAGTCTTCAGTGTCAAAAGAGGTCATTCAGGTACAATGGCGAAATAAATAACTTTCAGTCTTCAAACTGTTTGCCAAGTTTGAAGGAGGGAAACCTAGAGAATGTGATGAAAGAAAAGTTTGAGGAGAGGCTGCCTTGAAATCCTTTTTCATTTCCTACTCATGGGCCATTCTGCTCTGTGTTCAGGGCTCAGTGAACAATTCCAACTTCTCCCAATTCTATCACCCAAAAATAGATCGCAGTTCTAATATAGGAAGGTTGATTAGCCTGTTTAGGTACTGTTTCTCCCTAATTGGGACAATATCCACTTTGCTGCATCCACAAGAACCAGGCACTAGTTAAAAGCACCTGCTGCAATCTGTTGCTGACCAGCTTTTTTGCTACTTGGTTCTGTTTTCTAGTGTTTCAAATTTCAATGATCATAACTAGAGACAAATCGATAGGTTTTCAGGCAGATTGGCTCCTATTTACTTGGTGCTTACCATTGTATTATAAGCCCCAATTTTAAGTTATTATCTGATTCAAATTATGGAACTTTGCTTCAACCTGGCTATTAGTTAACTATCTGGTTGTATGTCTTTGTTGTTTTTCCCAGTTTTCGTGTATGATAGAAACCAGATGAATGTGCTCGAGGTGAACAAGACAGACTATGAGTCATGCAATTCTGATCATCCCCTTCACAACTGGACAACTGGAGCTGGCAGGGATGTGGTTCCGCTAAATGTGACTCGTCACTACTATTTCATTAGTGGCAAAGGGTTCTGCTATGGGGGCATGAAGCTAGCTGTCCTAGTCGAGAACCCACCTCCACCGCCCACATCTTCTCCATTAAACGAAAAGAGTGGCTCTCCAAGTTCTATTTACAGAGGCCGAATTGTTTTACCAGCTGTTGTCGCCATTGGTGCACTGTGGGATGCATTTGTGCGCGTCTGGTAGTGAAACCCAGTCCACCATTTGATCAGCTTAGGCATTCCTTCATCAATTGTGAAAGAAAATTGAGTCACATTCCATTCCTTGTTAAATTATTGGTGTAATTTTTCATATTTTTGGTTTCTCTCTCCATATTTGATGATAGTTGACCTGGAACAAGGGGTGTTGTGTAATCTTTAAGGTAGTGAATGGTGTTTGAATTTGGAGATGTATTGGGGTTTGCTGACACAGAGGCATTTGAAAAATGCTTCCTCGTTGGAGAGTCTTACATGCTTAGATTGTGGGAAAATGCTATGGTTATTGAGCTTGGGAAATGAATTAAAAATTTTATAGGGGTCCAATGCAGCATGTGGTAGGCCACTTTGTCAGTGTTTCAACATCCCAAAATGGCCACTGATTTCGGAACCATGCTTTTCTTTATTTGCTCATGACTGCCATTGCTCATGCCTAAAGATGAAAACTTTGTCCTAAAAGGCCACATGATGGTGACATCTTTGGTCCACAGCAATTCTCTATAGATTGAATTATAGTCACTTAATTTTTCCCTAATAAGAACCATAATTAATGCTCATACAATAATTCATTCTTTTAATGGGCTCTGGCCCCTCACTTATTATACATTTCACCTTCAACATTGTATCTTTATCTAAATGCAGCCTTTCATTAAGCTATGGGTATGGAATAATTGTTCACCTCATACTAGTTTTGCTCCCACTTAAAACTGTTGGCCAGGGACGAGTAACTCAAACTTAAATAATATCTTACGAGATGAGTAATAAGTATTAAAAAAATTTTCTTACCTGATAAATCAAGTAAAGAGGAAATTAAATCAAATTATCCCTTAAAATATTATGATCAATTTATAATTCCATGATAGAATAAATTAAATCAAATTATAAAATTAATCCCCATATTCTATAAAAGTAATGAATTTAATCTTTGTACAATAATTTGTAAAAATTGAAATTCTATATTTTACAAAATTGATATTATCAGTCTAATCATTAATGATATTAGAAATTTTTTAGCTATTTATGTAGTCATGAATTTGACTTTACTAACATTACATATTCTTGTTAATGACGTGTGTAGATTACAAAAAATGCCATATCAGTAACATAGTAACACAATATCAACATCACTTCATTACTTAAAATTCATGTCTGCTTAATCATTTCATTATTTTTATATTTTAGTTATTATATTCAATACTACATCAATAAAAATATGTGACGTTAGTACAATCAAACACTATATAAATATAAATAATGAAAAAAAATTTAACTTTGTTAATTATTAGATTTATATCATCGAATTTTGTAAAATAGAAGTTTCGATTTTCACAAATTATTATATAGGTATAAAATACAGAATACATGAGTTAATTGTATAATTTCATAAAAAAACATTTTTTATTAAATTTAATAAAAAATAATATTATTTTATCTCGAATAATTCGAATATCCACAAATAACATGACATCATATAGTATTAACAAATTTATAAACATTTAATTTTTTGTGAGACGCTGGACTATTGAACTATCCAGCCTTTTAACATCAACAAAATCCTTTTTACAGATAGAATTAAACCGCTCATTACTCAACGTTGCGTAACTGCCCTAAAAATTCTCAACGCCCAAAACTTTACAAACAAGATACACATAACAGCCAACCATCTTTTGGCATCTGGAACAAACCGCCCATTTCTTTCCCACTTTGACCACTCACTTTACACCTGGAGGTGACTAGGCACACAGTGAATCATCAACCGTGTAACTTTAGCACTGTCGCCTAGTACGTTACTAATGAACTTGCACCAGCAAATTTAATTGGTCCAACTCATCATTTGACTACTCCAACAAGACATACTGAGTTGCCCACGACTGTTTCAGCTATAACTGAACTGTGAAGACAACCACCGTATACGAGGATTATTAGCAGCTGCCAAGGTTGATTTTTCCCAGAAAGATTTCTCAGAGAAAACTGAAGGATGAAAAGAGATTATTCAGTCAAGTTTCTGATCATGATGTTCATGATGTTCGAGGTTGGTGCGGGGAAATTGCATCGCGTGGGAGACAAGCAAGGGTGGAATCCTAACGTCAATTATTCAGAATGGTGCAGCCATGAACAATTCTATGTCGGTGATTGGCTACGTAATCTCTCTTTTTCCATTTCTTTCTCAGTATCTGGAAATGTATCTGTGTTGTTATATTCATATATTTTTGACAATTGACTTCTTTTTTTCTTTTAATTCTTTTTGGATAAAAAAATTAATATCGAAAACTGCTTTTGTTTTTTCCTTTTAATCATGAGTTTATATATAAATCAATATGGAAAGGAATATGTTTGCTTAATTCATTTATTTTACTCATTTATGCTAGCTTTTCTACTTTAAATTAAATATAAATTTCTTTCATTTTTTTCTCCATTAAATGAATTCCAAAACCAAGTGTAAAACATCTGTCAGTGCTCAGCAGCATTTCTTCCCTGAACTTCAACTTCATCTTTAACATCACCGTTGCTTTTAATATGTTTTAGTTGATAATATCAGCTGGGTACTAGGAATAGGTGCATTGCTAGCTGTACTTAGGGTCCTTATGGTGCAACTTAAATGAACATTAAAGAAAAAAGATTACAAGTGTTAGTGAAACTTAACTTTCAATCCAAAAGTAGAGAATTGAATTCAATACTAGCTATATCCCTTATCAGATAAGCAATAATTAAATGTGAGCTATGAAATGGCTGGCTTTATCTATTTATAAATTAAATTTGGTAAGTCATTGATGTTTTTTCCACATCTTAGTTGTTTCTCGTAATGATTTTTAGATAATTTTTGACAATATAAAAGGAGAACCATTCCACAATATGAAGGCATATGGTTTCTTTACCTTCTATCTAAAAATGGCGTACTTATTGCTATTCACCTTACCTTAGTGCTTGACATAATATCTAAAAAGAGTTGGCAATTAATGAACTTTTTCTATTGACATATTTTGGATGCATTGAGCACCACTTATCTGTTTCTAGGTTCTAAGCTGATTCTGAAACTTGTAAAGCCATCCCTACTCCCTAGCCATTTCTAGAACTTTTTTTTATTTTTGATAATACGGCCAGGTTAACCCTAAGTTTTGCTTAGGTTTAATCCCCTCCCCGAAACATTTTAAGGCGGCACTCCCCCACATCGACCTGGTGCGTTTAGGATTTCACTTCCAAGAGTGCTCCCCACAAGTCATGTGCTGAACATTGATCCTCAATACTCATATTTGAAGAAATTGGAGAACAAATCCTATGTATAGATTGGAGTTCTGGGCACCTGATGTTTTTGCAGAATTCAAAACTGTGCAAAAGCAAACGCTGCATTAGAATTTTGAGGTTGATTCTGTTGTTATATGCTAACTTGCTCAAGTTTTTGGTCTTTGTTTAGTCTTTAACTTCGACAAGCACTACTTCAATGTTCTGGAGGTGAACAAGACAAGTTATGAGACTTGTAATGACCAAAATTTCATACACAACATTACTCGCGGTGGCCGTGATGTGTTTGAACTGACAGAGGCAAGGCCGTATTACTTCCTCAGCGGTGGAGGATACTGCTTTCATGGGATGAAAGTTGTTGTGAACGTTGAAATACCTCAGGCTCCGGCACCTGCGCCTGCCAAAAATGATTCCCCCTCGATTGCTGGCAGCTATATCGTTTTACTCATTGTGATTTCAATGCCTGTGGCATGTGTGGTCCTCTTATTTTAGATCAGATAGTTGAATGAGTGAAAGCAGCACTAACAGGTTCCATATAAGATCACATTAAGTATGATGGACTATGATTTTCCTTTCAATATAGAATCATATGCTTCAGAAATGAAATGAATGTATGTGAGTCTGGTTTGCATGCAATTTGGAATATTATGAGGTGTGAGATTTTACTTTCAGTGGTCTCTAATGACATCCATCTGATCTGAGAATCAGCAAGTGGGAAACCTTGTTTTTCTACTAATTATTTACTTTCTTTTTAGGCCTAAGCTGATTAATTTTCTCATAACTCGATTGACATTTACTAACTAAAGATAAATCTGTCATGGAAAATGAAGGGAAATAAGGCAATGTAGAGAAAGGCTTGTGTCTTTAAGGTAAATCCCATCATAGATCTCTCTGAGCTAGAAGCGAATGGTGGCAACAAATATTGAATAAGATCAAAAGATCTATGATTTTATTAACAAAATGAAGCATCCTAGCATCCACAATTGTCCCAAAGAATACTAAAAAATGAAGCATCCCAGCATCCACAATTGTCCTAAAGAATGCTAACTTCATTTTCCAGCTGTTAAAGAACTCAAGCAACCTGAGAGAAATATTGCTGCTAAATGCTTTTAACTGGTAAACAAAACTAAAATTCTTCAACTAATAAAGACCTTCACTATACCATCCGTAGATAATTTACCTGCAATGTAAGTATATAACCTAGCATATCCTCTTTCCTTGCTTTTAATGCAACTCAATCATCACCAGAATTTTTCTTCATCATGCTTTTATATATGCCTAGAGCCTTTGTTATCATGCTGGCAGGATTCGCAATATTGCTTGGAAGCAAAGTTATCGTGCTCTTCTTCCCCATCTCACCAAATGCTTCAATGTGCTGCTCTGCAACCCTCATTCCTGTCGCTTCCCTTCCCCTGGGCGAGCATATAGCATTCAAGACATCTCTTATCGCCTTTGCAGTAGCTTGTGCATTCGCAAGTATAGCCTCCGCTTCACCTGTTCCTTTATTGACCTGACTTATTCTTTCAGCTTCAGATTCCAAAATCACCGAACTCCTCATCCCGTCAGCGATATTAATACTTGCTTGTCTTTGATCACCATCGGAATTAAGAATCTGAGCACGCCCCTTGCGTTCGGCTTCTGCTTGACTATTCATGGCCTTCCTCACACCTTTCGGTGGTGATACATCTTTGATCTCATACCGCAAACATTCTAGACCCCAATTCGTTTTCAAAGGCCAGTCGTTAATAGCATCGAGAATGTTTTTGTTGAGAATATCATGCTCTTCAAAAGTCTTGTCAAGTGTGATCTTCGCAAGCTCGCTTCGCATTGTTGTTTGAGATAGTTGAATGACTGCAAATATAGGATCTTCGATGCCACATAAGATGCCAACAAGGGATCCGGAATCTTTATATAAAGCACCCCATCAATGGCTATAGGAACATTGTCCTTTGTTATCGCAGTTTGGTCTGATATGGGGATTGCTTGCTCCTTAAGGGAATGCTTGCTCCTTAAGGGAATGCACATACCTGATTTTATCGACAATTGGCATCAAGAAGTGAAGGCCTGGATCCAGAGTTGTCAAATATTTTCCCAATCCTTCGACAACATAAGCTCGTTTTTCTGGGACAATACCGAACACTGGATGGGAGTTCTTATCTTGTATGAGTCAGTTGAGAAGCTGCGGACTGATGAGCCCAGTTGAGTTGGGATTGAGTGATGGGGTGTTCTCAGCATCAGGTAACTCGAAGCTGAAACGTTGCGGTAAGAGGTTCTGGGATTTCGGAGTGGTGTTGATGGAGATAGCTTTGAAGGGATTCATGGTGATTATCCGGTTTCGATTCAAACTGTTGCTAGTTTATGAGAGTCCAAATATTGAAGCCGCCAGACTTGTTTCTGTGTCTTGCATGATGAAAAGCAAGGGAGGCTTCATGTCAGGATAAACCCTATTTTATCCATTCATATTTTTATATACAATCATACTATATTTACCTTTATATGATTCATTCGTATTTTTATGTATAATGATACCAAATTTATCTTTCTTTTTCAAGAGTTCAATAGTTTTATGGTTTTTTATATTCATTTATCAATGCTTGTTACGAGAAAACAAAATTTTATCAACACCAAAATTTATCTTCAAAGGAAAAAAAATTCATGTAGGAGTAATACCTTGGATAAAACAGCTAAAACCATTACCACTTACAAAATGTAGATGTAAGTATACATATATATATATATATATATATAAAAAATTAATATTTAAAATTTTTTTATATTATTTAAAAAATTTTAAATAAATTTTTATTTTTTAATACATTCATTTTAAATTATTCTATTAATTTTATTTCACGTATGATTAATGTGACGTATAGACATTTCATAATGAATAATAACAACATATGATAATATAATATTTTAAGTTTTCAATTCAATTTCATGTTAAATATAATTAATTAATTATTAATTATAAAACTTATTTATTCTAAAATATATAAAGAAATAAAAGAATAAAAAAATTTTAAAATTTTAAAATTTTTTTAAATAATTTAAGAGAAAAGCATCATGCTTTAGAAAAACATAATTTATTAGTTATTTTCAATCAAAAAGTTGAATATTCCAAAATTTTTATATATTTTTATTTTTAAAAACTAACTTAACTGAAAAAAATCAATCTATAACAGATAAGATAGCACTAAAACAAAACCAAGCTCTCCACTGTCTCTCCTCTTCCTCCCAATGGCTTCAATCTGTTACTCTTCCATTTCCGTTCTTTTCCCTCCCAATTCATCCAATCCAAACAAAGCCTTCCCGTTCCCTCCAAAACTTCCCTACCCGAACCCTTTTCCCTCCCTTCGGACCTCCAAAATCCGAGCCGCCAACTCCTCCTCGGTCCAAGAAGAACATTACATGGGCATCGATAATCTTCACCAGTTTGTCGACCTTAATATGGGCAAATGGACCGGTTCTTTTCACGTAATTATTTTTTTCTCAATCACTGTTAATTATTCTCATTTCTTAATATATATATATTTTTTTAAAAAAAGTTTTTTTAATTCGCAGCAATTTGATGGAAATGGTAATTTATTGCAAAAAATAAATACGAGGCTTTCGGCGAGTTCGTATGGAGAAGATGAACTTATCAGTCTTATTCAAACGTAAGCTTTTCCTTTTTTATTTTGTATTTTTTGTGAAATTTAAACTCTTTTAGTAAGTAAAAATGAGGAAATGGCTAAAATGCAACACGCATTTCAACATAATTGCTTTGCGTAAAAAGTCAAATCGTGAATTTTGTTCGTGGCAAATTTAAAATTTTAATCCATCCATTATTTAGAAATATAATTGCTTTGGTTTCCCCCAAGGCATTTTCTTTCCTTTGATGGAAGCTGATATTGGATCAATGTAAAATCAAGAAAGCCCATTAGTTATAGCAAGTAGACTCTTATGGTTTTTATATTTCTCCTTTCCAACTTGCTTAATAAAGTTGTAATTTTTAGGTTATATATAGAGCAGCCTCACTCAAGTACATCAGTTTCTGGACATGATGAGGAACCTGAATGGGCAGAGTACAAAATAAAAGAAACAAACATGTTCACTGTAGACAAATATCAGCAGGTGAGCTCTTCCAATCATTTGAGGAGTTGAAATTGATCCACTTTCAATCTACTTTATTGCTATTATTATTATTATTAAATCTTATCTTTTAGGGTTTGTTATTTTCTCTTAGAAAATCTGTTATGTTTAGTCTGCAGATTGGCTTTTTTCCCAAAGAGAGGGCTTATTCATTAAGATACCTGACTGCTGGCATGTTAGAAACCGTGTTAAGGCAAGGAGTGTTGGGGGAAGATGACACAGGAGAGGAGTCACCAAAGTAAGTGCTTCCATTCTCAGAAGGCAGTCCTTTTATGAATTGAATAACTTCTGCATGACAAAAGAATCCGATAGCAGTTTTTCCTCATCAACCTAGAGCCATAATACTGACATTGGTGCAGATGATTCCAACACTTTGGTTTTGTTGCTCTTTTGTTGTTGTTAGGGTGAATGAATCTTGTCTAAGGCACCAGTTTAAAACCAACTGTAATATGTAATGCATGATGCATGGCACAGTATCCCCTGTTTTGCAGAAATTTTCTAGTAACCTCAAGAAGGCATCTTAGAGTTGTGTCACATTATGACAAGTTGATTTGGATATTTCTGATTGGCTATATAATTTGGGGGTCTGGCAGCCATATCCCTTAATGTCTTCTTACAATCATTTCAGGGCTTTATTTCCCACCTTCAAGCTAGTCTGCTAGGGTTGCTACTTGATAGTCTGCCTGTTTTTTTCTTAGTATTTGGGCAATGGCTTACCAGGACACAGTATGGGGGAGAAGGATGATTAGCTTTTTCCTCCTTTTTTGAGATCTGATCTACATCAGTTCAGTATAGTCAGAACAGGAATATCAGTTTCGTTATGTTGTTTACAAAAATATTTAAAACTGATCTTCTTTGAGTATCAAATTTGCGTGAACCAATGGAACTCTAGACAATGTTGATTAGCTAATTCTCTCAAATTATTTGTCACAATCACCCATTTCTGAAATGATGAGTGTGCTTGCCAGACAAAATATCTCAAAATGACTGCTTTCAAGGTTTTCTCCTCTATCTCACAACCTTCATATCTGCATGGGTGCATTCCATTAAAAAAACTAACTATTTGTTTTACTTTACAGAAATCTTAAGCTTCCTTCTCGCCGGCCTTCCATTGTTTGTGAGAATTGCCTATATTCACAAGAGAAGGATAGGCGAGCAAGAGCCTTTCATATCATGGACCCAAGAGGCTTTATAGATATGCTTGTCATCTTCCTTGAGGATAGAGGTGATGGGCTGCTTTTTCATCCATCACTTGGCAATATGATGGTAATTGATTTTTGACCACATTGTTTGAATTGACAATATAATCAAACTTTCTTATAAGATATATGTATGCAAAAGTGTGTTTGTTCTGATTGTAGGATGGCCAGGTCCGGATTTTACCATTTCTTGGCAAGTGGGAAGGTCATTCTGTAACAAAGCGCAGTGGTGTTTATGGATCCACAATTACAGTAGCTGATACAGTTGCTTTACTCCAAATGGATGACAAGAATAAGCTAGTCCAGGTATGTGCCTGTCTCTCCAAATGCATGAACCAAACACAATTGTCTTAAAAGGGTAAGAGTCATTGAATCATGAAGTGGCAATTGATTTGTATGAGCTGTTTGACTGCATATATGATGACACATGGGGTTGTTTCCATGAAGTTAGTGATGAGATCTTGTTCATTTTGTAGTGTATGTATGTGCTTCTAAGAGGAAATAGCTGCATCTTGGTTCTGTTATTGTCTTTTATGGCTTTTAAAATGAAGGAAAATTTCATGCCTTCAATTTTTCTCGTTTCCGTTTTGGGCTTGGGATTGTAAATGCCAATGCTTCAAAGCCCAAAACCATGCAGGTGGATAGTAGATTGATGTATAGTCTACTGCTTGTCAGTGTTGATACACATTGTAGTTGGTTTTAGTTTTGTTATTATCACTCTTGTTCAATTCTTTTTTTTTTTCCCCTTCTTGTTTTCATATACACAATCAGGATGTTACTTCCATGGGTGGTGGGGGCAATGTAAGGACTAACGTGCGTTGGACGGGTACAATCTCAGATAACTTGGTTGAATTTGAAGGGGCATATCAGCTAACATTATTACCTGGTGGCATGTATATGGGATATCCTTCTGATATTGCAAAGAGCGTAGCCGAATCCAAGTCATTCCATTTGGAGTTCTGTTGGCTTGAGGCACCTGGCAAGAGACAGAGACTGGTTCGAACTTATGATGCAGAGGGGTTGGCTGTCTCATCAACTTATTTTTCTGAGGTTAGAATTTGAGTCCCTCCTACATCACTGCCTGCATATTCAATTCCCTCTTTGAATGTTGAATCCTTCTCTCAGCAATTCCTTGCAGTGAAGTTAGGGTTTTGATTTAACATAAATGAGAGTAAGGAAAACGGAGCACTATTGTTGTAACTAATAAGATGGTGTATATTTTTTTCTAATTTATTGCTCCATTCCTTGTAAAGTCACTGAAAGTATTAAGTTTCAACTCTCTCTCTCTCTCTCTCTAACCATTAAATATGAATCTATATTGAATTTAAAATATGGAGTTGTTTATATAGATAGATTTATTCTGGGTCAGTTAGTTTGTACTTTTGTGGCAGGGATTTCCTGCTTTTGGATGAATGAATATTGTCCATTGTGCCAATAAGAAAAAAGGTCACCACGCATGCAAGGATAATTACCCCAATAGATGGCCAGCACTTGCTGGATTTTATCCTCCTTAATAAAAACCCTTCAAAATGTTCTAAAGTATCTAAAATTTAACTGCACAAATTAACACAAACTATAGACACAGATGCAAATTAAAGAGACGTCTTAGGTAAAAATGAATTGAAATAAAAACAAGCTTAGGTAGAGTTACTTAGATGTCCCTAAACATGATTCAATAAAACAAGAAAAGTGAAGCATTGCAAGCTGCTTGCTCAAGAGTTTATCCTTCCGAGTAAAAACTTACATTGAACCCTTCTTCCAAAAGTAAATTTAACACCATTTCTATTCATAAAATATATCGAAAGTAATCCATGATACAGCCATATCCTTGTCTTTTACCTGTACGTTATAACAACAGAGTATTTTTGAGTTCATCATCTCATAACTTAAAAAACTAATAACAGCATTCCTGAAGTGAAGGGCCAAGGTATCTATGGACTATGGTGTCATTCTGCAAAATCAAAGTGATTTTGTGGTGTGTTACAATGATAAAGTAATAAAACCAAAAGAAATATTGCAAATAAGCTAATAACAAATCTTGCTTGAAGATTATCTTATTGTTATAATCAATAGCAGAGGGAATGGGGGCTAGCAGGGGTCTTTATCTCCTCAAAAGTTTTAAAATTTCATGATATACTTTTGTTTATTTTTTAAATTTTATAATTTTACCCTTACAACCATTTTCTTTATCTAATAGGATTGCCAAAATTGAAAAAGAAAAAAAGGAAAATTCCATGCATTTTCTTTATCTAAAATGTCTAATTTCGTTTCTCTATTTGAAACATGATATAAACATCACATGCATACTATACTTTCTTTTCTTTTGACTTAAATACTAAAAAACAAAGCTCTTAAACTATGTCTTTTGCACAATTAAATTTTTATATCATTCAAAAAAGTTCTTATTTTATAACTTTTTACCCACACATGCCTTTAATTTTAATGAAAAATAAGTAGTCATTTGACTTAATATCAATTAATGATCACATGATAATTGATGTAAGATGAATCACATGATTACGTCATATGTCATGTGAACAGAAAATACTAATTGATATTAAGTTTGACGAATATCAATTTTATATTAAAGTTGAAGATTAGTCTGAATTCAAATCAAAAGATAAGAGTTTATTTAAATACAATAGAAAGATAAAAATTTGGTTCCATAAATGGATAGTTGAAATATAATTAGCGTTTTCAATTCGTGTATTAAGTTAATGTAATTATATGACAATTGATATGAAATAAATTGTATAATTTCGTCATATATTGGATGAATAAAAAATATTAATTGATATTAAATTTGATTGTTAGAATTAGAATTTATTTTATTTTTTAATCAAAATATAAGTTATATAAATGGACATAGTTTAAGAGTGTTTTTTTATTATTTAAACCTTTTATTTTGAATTTTGTTAAGGAAGGCTCTTTTAGTAAATGCAATTTTTGTTCGATTTTTAACAGACTAGGCTTACTGGGTAAGGGATACAAAGGTCAATTAGGAAACCAAGATGGTAAAACAGAGAAAGTAAGACTAGGGTTCGAAGGCTATAGATAAAGAGAAATATGAGAGAAAGGGAGCGGCGCCTGAGGCCGAGCGCTTCCCTCGTGAAAGAAGGGGTGGCGTGGTATTCCACGGAGAGAGGTTCTTTACACATCGTGGCGCACGTCAGTGCGATAGGCGCATATTAACACAGTTCTTTTGGGGATTCCATGGCCGCTTTGCTGCTTTAGTTCTTGCAGCCAAAGCGAGTGTATAGCCCTACATTGTTGTTCGTTTATTTTTTTTAAAATTAAAAAATTATTTTTTGATTTTTGTTACCCATTAAGTAATTAAGTTTTATGTTTATGGGCACTTTTTGTTTTGAAAAAACTCTCTTTGATCTTGTTTTTGAGGAGCTTTTCGATAATTTTAATGGTTTTTCCTTTTTCCTTTTTTTTTTATCAATGTGATTTGTTCTTCATTGCCTTTATTTGGTTGAATTGTTAGGGCTTTGGTACTAAAAATGATTGAAACCAAAAAAAGGGAAGCATTACAAGTAGCATGATGAAGATTTCTCTCTTCCTTTCCAATGAAAAATTGCATTAGACCTCACAAATTACGATGCCGAGGTTGAGATTTCCCATTGTAAATTTCTTCACCTACTCAAAAGTATGTGAAATCATTGCTCTATATTTTCCGTATACATTCTGCAATCTTTGGTTTGATACAATTGATTTCAGCAGCACATAATGCGGGCTAAAAGGCAGAGGTAGGCACCTAAACTGTGTTGTTTGAGCTCACGTGAATTGTTTTCAAGGTTTGCTGGCTTGCTTGTAAGCCTGTACAATTGATTGCCTGTTTTCTATTTCAGGATTTTCCCCCCATGGAAACGAGCCTTGCATCATTTCTCTGCCAAAAACGAACAAAACCCAAATTTAGCTAACGTTTTTCAGACAAATAGCTTCTCTTATAAGTAAAATTGAGTTTCCCTTACCTCTGTGAAACCTTGATCTTCGAGCCACTTGCCGGATATGGTTTTCATTCCTTTGCAGGAGTTCATCGACTTTATATGGTCCTGTTACTAATGGTCCTGAATAATCAATTTTCACCTGATGGGGACATGGTTGGATAGCCGAGATGAAGAAAAGGTTCATGAGTTAAACGCAGAAAGTGATTCGAAACTAAAAGCAAAAAGTCACTTATGATAATCACAGATGCTGCCTGTGATCTTACCATGTCATTGTTTATAGCAGTTTCTTGATGAAACGCCATTGAGTAATCATGAGATTGGGGTACATCACTTGCATCAAAAACATCTGACCTATCAAACTTGCTTTGCACCTGCTGATCATTTATATAAAAGAATCCATGGCTATTCAATCCGTTTTGCTGCTGCTTCTGCTGCCTCCAATCATCATAAACACCTTGAGGAACATCTTGAGTCCCGTCTTTTGTTAGGTTAAAAGCACTATTTGAGAAGGTGAAGCTGGATGAATCTGCATCACTAAGTTGACTAATTGAAGAAGGCTGGTTGTATGACAGTGTAGATGTAGAATCTTTTCGCTTCTTCGCCCAGGAAAAGCTGCTTGATCCCGTGACTGGTGGTGGAGCTGTGAAAATGTCACCCTGGGATACAGTTGTTACTTGAGAAGTCTCTGACCTTGTATCGAAGAAGGATGAATTCAGCTGCCCTTTATGAGCAGCCCCTTCTCTCCCCTTGAGATTGTTTGCAGTCAAACCATGGTTCTTGCTAGCGAATTGAGTATCGTCTCGCAGTTCCTGCACACACACACACACATATATATAAACAAAACCTACTAGTTAGCTCTCTGTGTTAACACCGCACACAGACAGAGGCATACATTCTGAGGGAGAAATAGACACCTCTTTTGGCGCTGTTTTACTGAAATTGTTGGGTTCCTGCAAAGCTTTACGAGATCTTCTTGTTTTCTTAGATACTCCAGAATCTCGGGTTCTAGATCCAGCCTTCTTCCTGAAATTATAATGAATAAAACACATGCAAACGCAACTGGTTAATAAAACTTCAAGATGCAGTGAAGATTTCACCTTCGTAATTCATCACGCCGTTTAGCATCAATTTCTTTATTAGGTGAATACTTTGGCAAGCTTGACGGATCACAGGCGTAGGGCTTTGTGTGGAAATACTGAAAGAGGGCAACAAATAAACATGGGATCAGAAGCCCACACAAAAACTTTTGAGCCGTGATAGAAGAAGCATGTCTTTAAGGTTGTTACATTTTTCAGTAACATTGGACAACATGAAGGCTTGGAGAACCTAAGACACTAACTGCTGCAACCTGAAGTGTAATCATTTTGGTATTGAATCTCAAAAGACTTTGGTAGCAGACAGAAGTTTCAGTAAGCATTACCTCTGACATTAGCGATGAAGAGGCAGTCCCACGCTTGTGGGGTTCTACGGAAAGAAGAGCTTCTAACAAGTTCATTGCGGTAGCAGGAATATCTTTACACCTTTCGCGAAGACAACTTTCGTAAGGATGCTGAGGTTTAAACATGGTTGAATGAGGGAGCCGAGTCTTTTTCCAATAATCATCAGGAGGGGAACCACAAAGCTTAAAGATTTTATGCAGTTGTTCAACCTGCCAATGAAGGAAAAGACCAATCAACTTAAGATGCCGAATAAGTAAATATGAATGCAAGCCAATCAACAAATAAGGAAAACCCTGTAAAACTCTCTGTTGTACTCCTTGTGTTGAAGATGAGTTTAAAACTTTTGAATCTCACTGATATCATGTCTGAAGATTTTCAGCATAATAATAATGATAATAGAGGTTTGCCTGCAATGATGAGATGTCATATAAATAGTAGAGGATAATGCAACATAATAACACAAATCACCTCAGTTCTCCCTTTAAGGATAGGCTTTCCCATAAGAAGCTCTGCAAAAACACAGCCTACACTCCACAGATCCACTGAGACTTCGTAACTTGTTGATCCCATCAAAAGCTCAGGAGGGCGATACCATAAAGTGACTACTCTACTAGTCAATTGTTGCCTGTTCCTCGAAGTAAGGATGTTCGCCAATCCGAAATCCCCCAATTTCAGAACTCCTTGATTGTTTACCAAAATGTTGGATGCTTTAATGTCTCGATGCATTATACCTCGCAAATGGCAATGCTCAAGTCCTGATAGTAGCTGCTTCATATAGCACTTCACCTACACAGAAAGGTGACCCTAAACTGAACTTCTTAAACATTGAAGAATTCAAGATAAGACATCATGATCACTAATTACTACTTTCTGAAAAAAACAACAAAATATATATATATGCTTGAGTTTCAGCTAACCACAATCTATGCTTTGTCAAAGTGATCAGAAGGTGCAGAACAAACCTGTGCCTCACTGAACTTGATATCAGGACAAGAAGATAGTCCGGCAAGATCATGCTCCATGTACTCAAATACAAGGTATACAGTACTTGAAAACCGAGATGTGATTACCCCCTCCAACTTCATGATATTTGGATGGTCAAGCCTGCGTAGAATTGTTATTTCTCGTGCCATGAACCTAATGCTTTCTGGTTGAAAGTTGTCGAACCGCACCTTCTTCAAGGCAACCATCCTCCCAGTTTCAACTTCGCGTGCTTGGAATACGCTACTATATGTACCTTGTCCAATCTACATGAATATTATGGATTGAAAAGAATTCTCGTCAAAATCAGGACTGATGCAATGACCAAAATTATGACCAAAGAACCACCTATTGTAGAAAAATAGAAAAAGAAAAACAGTCATCGCCAGAACAAAATAATGATACAAGGAGTATAATTGACTTCATACATGGGTACTGGAAGGTATTCAGCCTGCTTGTAAATCAAACAACGCACCCATTGTAGCTACAAACTACTAAAACCTATATTTTACCAGTCAGTTCATTTAGCTTAATAGGTAAATAATGAGTATTCCTACTATTGTAATACCTAAATCTTGAATCAACAGAAAATAAGGCCTTAGCTTTAAGGCTCAATTTTTTCTGGGAGGAAGGCATGTTAAACTATCACTTGTATAGAAATGGAAATGAAGTGGGGGAACCTTGAAGCTTGGCTAATGGCTACGTTGAAGGAATAAGACAACCTAAAAAGCAAAAATCACCAAAGTATTTGGCAAAGAATGAATGATAAATTGTAGTTTGATATTCATGAACCATCCAGCACTTATACTCTGCTTTAGAACTAAATTATCATTCTCTTTTACATTTGCAAATGGATAATTCTATCACTCAACCAATAGTTTCAGAGGAGAAAAGAAAAAGTACCTACATCAGGAAACTTATATCAAACAAAGGCATGCTTAGAAATGCGTAAAATAGCTCACATTATAACAGCAGTCGACAATTAAACATGCAAACTTCAAATGACATAATGCACTCGATTTGAAATCATGATTAACAAAATTCTACTTTTAAGTCATTTTGCTGGGAAAACATTTAAATTCTAAAAACCTTAGCTACCTTGTCTAGTTTCTCAAAAGCCTCAGCCTGCAAAGGCACCCAACCATGTACAGCTTCACCAGCAGCTGAGCTAAGCCAAGCAGGCCACCCGGCTGCGACCTGTTCAGCCTCCACAAACCTATGTGAAAAGCCCAATTTCAGGCTAAAAGAGCCGCTCTTCCTACTGGAACTCCCCCTCTTTGATTTCCTCAACTCGCGGCTACTCTTTCGATGATGATGGTTAATAGTTTTACCATTATCATCCAATTTCTCATCATCTCTATTACTCTCTAACCTCCCAGATTGTTGTTTTGATGATGATGAAGAAGCAAATATCAAGCCGTGGCTATTGTTGTGAACCACTGAAACAGGGGAGGCTGCCACAACAGAGCCACCATGTTTGGAGGTAATGCAACCCATTTAGCTCGAAACCAGGATTGACCCAGATCACAAAAAGAGGTCTGGGTCAAAAATGGAAAATCATCCCCTCATTAGACCAAAAGGGTAAGCATTTAATCTGGGAAATAAGAGAGAAACAAAGAGAAAAAGAGAGACAGGACAAAAACAGAGTTATAGGGAAGAAGAAAACAGGGGAGAAACAGGGAAAGAAAAAAAAACAGAGTTTTGTTTTTTTTTTCTTTGGTCTGTCTGTCTTGGTCTTTGTTTGCGAGATCTGCGGACGGAACAGAAGGATACCAAAGGAAGAGAAAGCAAGAGAGAGAGAAAGATTCGTGGGTCCATAGTGGCACATCTTTTGTTGCTAGAATAGAGGTTTCTTGTTTTTGCAAAAGCTTAAAAACGTGACCGTTGGCAAGTTTCTTGTTTTTTCTGTTATATACTCTCTGTTTTTTTTTTTCTTCTGTTAGTTGATTTGGTTTTCACTTAGACACAGCAATTCCTTTTAAAAAAAAATAGAAAAAGAATATGCAAATTAAACAAGGAAGTTAATGGTTTATTTATCATTTAATAATTTCTCAAACTTTGGAGTTGTATAGTGGGGGGTGGTTGTAGGTGGTCAACTGTTCCAACAGATCCACTGCCAATGCAATCCTGTTAAGAAATGTGGTTTTAAGATTGATGATTAGGTAATTAACCTTTTAATCATTTAGGAGGATTAAGTGGTGATGATTACTAATTATTATATTTAAGTGAGTGAAGGGATGCCTTGGAATTCTGTGTTAAAGTTTGAGGATTTGTTGTTGCATCTTTTAATGGGTCCAAACTTTATTCTAAAGAAACAATCACTATCCCATTAACAAAAGCATCTAAACAAATTTTCAGTCTTCTGTGTATCATTTAATACTTCAAAATTTTTTGAAGAATTCTGTTCACTTCATTCAAATAAGTGATTCATGGAATACAAAACTTGGCATAAGCTTGACCAAAAAAGGGCAAAGGAGGGGGGGTTTTTTTATTTTTTTGTATCTTTAAATGTTTAGAACACTGATATACATACATACAACATTGGAAATTAGTTGTGATTCAGTCAAAGAATTTAAATAAGGAAAGGTCTAAAAGGAATGCCTGCCAGCTGACTCAAAAGCATAGGCTAGACCTAAAAGTTTGAACAGCATGGAAGAAGAAATGGTTGAAACCATCTTTTCTTAATGGAGAGTTATGGCCTTACTGTCAAATTGTGTGAGGAGAAAGCAACAATCAATTTGTTTGTTGGAGTTGGGGTCGAAACAATAGCCAGATTTTGGTTTCTTACGACTGAATTCAATGGCTTGTTGAACCACAAACATTTTTTCACAAAGATCTTCCCGCTTGTATGCCTACAAATTCTCACCAAGCTGTTTATATGGCCGAAAGCAAGTTCTAGTTTTTAGGTTAGATAATTTCTAGGAAGAAACGACATCTTCACAGCGCCTTGTATCTTTTAGGCTCTAACGCTGCTGTCGTAAAAGGTAATTGTATCAGTCAAAAGTGCCCCTGGTCAATAAGAAATGGTTAACCATAACTGAAAAGAAAAGGTTGAAAAGCATGGCGAAGTAACCATAAACTGATATAAAACACATGTATATCATGTCTAAGCTTATCGAAAACAAAAGTTTCCCCAGCAACCACCAACATACCAATGAAAAAAACATTCACGAAGAACATAGTATGCATTGGATAATATCCAGATAAAATTATACAGCAGATGTATTGCCATAAACCTCCAAGAAAACCTTGCCATTGACAGATAAGAGGGAATCCAGTTTATGAACCTGTTTCTTGGCCTGTGTATCAAAATGCTTATTGTTATTAACTGAATCTACAAAGTATTAATCAATGCCAGTAGCAACAAGCCTGGCAACTTGAACAACACCTAATATATGTCACCTTCTCCAAAAGAGTATAAACATATATACAGCATTACTTACGAATATCAATATACAAAACTGGGTAGTCAATAAAGCACTCCTACTTAATCAAATTATATAGCAGCAGCAGCTATTATCATTTCATTTTCATCACCTTTTGTTTACACTTTCTGCCATATATTTATTCATTTCATAACCATGTTAGTTGGCTGGGATCAGCAGCTGAACCTCCTGTTACTTAACGGGTTTTAGCAGGGGAATTAAACTCTAATTTGCTCCTCTTTTAGCCTTAAAACTGCTGGTCCCTGGGCATTGTTTCGAAAATCCATCTTTTGAAGTAAAGAATGCTCCTCAGCCACCACCTTGTGTGGTTTTGGCTGTGGCAGACTATTGTTGACTGTGGTGTGGCTACTGTTTCTAGCTGCTGGGACATCATGATTATGTTTTCCCTCGTATGTTGTTATGACAGCTTTGGGATCTGTTGAAGCTCTTTCCACATGCTTCCGAACATTGCATCCTGCACTTGTGCATTTGTAATAGCTCCTGTGGCGAAAGCATAGATGCATCAGAAATAATCCCGAAAAGGTAAACAACTTTTTATTAAAGTACAGCAGCTTGAAAGGAAAAAAAAAAAATACTAGAAGGTAGATGAAGCAGGGTGGGATTAGATAAGAGCCCCTTGATAAAACCGTGTTCTTTCTATTTTTATAACACAACCATCAAATATATTTACCACCAATTGTATACATACATACATACATACTTACATACATACATATATATATATATATAAAATATTTAGAGTCAGCATCTCACGTCATAATGTAAATGATAATAAATAAATAAATAAATTCACATTCAAACATGTATCTGCAACAAGATCACAGCATTGATAAATCAGTATTAGATAAACAGTATTTAACAAGCAAAACAGGGTGATAAATTGATGACGGTAGCATCTATCCTGCAACATGAGTTCTTTTAACTTAGGCTTAGTTTAGCATTTGTGGTTAGGTTGCAAAACTGCAGTCCAGCAATTTGATAGATGCTTCGCGCAGATAAAGAATAAGGTTATCTTCCCATTTTAAGTTTCTTACATTCATCAAATTTTTCAGCCAATATGCACACAAACTAAACAAAGTTGGGGATGTAGGGCAGCCCAGTTTACCAGAGAATCTAGTCAATATATTCTGATGGCAGAAAATCAAGAAAGGTTTTTGCTATAAAATGCGTACTCAAGGACTTTTTATCAATTTATTGAGTATAATTGCAAGAAATATCAAAAGTCACAATGATTAGCAGTCCTACGGTTGTATGCCTATTATACAAATCTCCATGAAATTAGATCATACTGCTTTTGAAGATCAATTCTAAGATATATCAAGCAGACAATTTTCCATTTTAGAGCACCCAAAAGTTTATGACATAGCTAAAACATCATTAGGTGTAGATTTTGCTCATCTTCAAATGGTTGTAGAGTTCAATACTGTCAAAGTTTCAGTTTATAAGGAGAAAATCACTATGAGAATGAATATAGAATGTCTTGAACAGAGAGGCAACTGTAGGTTTAATTAATCAGAATATGTTAAGCACCAGAATTCATGCCATAATGTAATCATTAGAACCATAGGCAAACAAACATATGTATATTCCATCGCACCTTGGATGTGGGTTCCCTTTGACCACTTTCTGCCCATATTTGCGCCACCTATAGCCATCATCTAAAAGGTCAACTTCACTTCTTGTTTGCACAATAATTTTTGATTCTGTGACTGTCTTGTGTGACAAGACTACTGCAGATTCCCCTCCAGTATTCCTGCAGCCAAAAGCACAATGCTCTCAGAATTATGAAGATTTAAGAAATATGAATTGCATGATCAGTTACAAGTACACTTAAAACTTGCCTTCTTTTTGGATTTGGTTCATCATCATCTCTTTCTTCTCTACTTTCTTCATCGCAACCTTCCTCACTCTCACTTGGTATTTCCACAGCCACTTGAGCAGATTCATTATTTTTCCCAGGTATGGAACGAGTTAGTACAATTTCACCTAACTTGTTCAAATTTCCAGCTACACCCTGAGAACCTAGTTCGGAATTAGCCTGTGAAACTGAATTTCCATCATTTCCACCCTTTCCTTGTTTATTTGGTTGAGGCTTTTCATGATTGTGCGCACCTTTGTAGATAATTTCAGTTATTTGGCCATCAGCAGATCGCTCAACCTTCTTCTTGACAGGACAATTCAAATGTGTACACTTATAGTAGCTTCGCGGATACTCACAGCCTTTAATTGGCTTCTGCCCATACTTACGCCAGTTGTAGCCATCTTCAGCAGGTTTATCCACAGCAACAGAAGGCTGATTTTTCCTATCAGATTGAGAAGCTTCGGAGTATTCTATTGCAGAACTTTGAGGGTCAGAGGCTGAAGGAGGCATCTGCTGTGAAGTTTCTTCAGGATTGAAGGATGGATGATGTATCAATGACTCTGAAGGAGCTGCTACTGACAAAGTTTGATATTCTGCTTGTGTACGCACATGAGATTGGGCTAAGGCAGCTTGAGCTGTAACTTGTGCCAATGCTTGCTGGTGGGATATTCCAAATGGACTCTGCACAAATTATGAAACAAAAGTTTGATTAACTGATTATCATCAAAATAAGAATTTGGTTATGGTAGATTGATAGCCATCAATATGGCACCAAGTGAAACAGGAAGACAATCATGACACAGTAAGCAAGTTACACTTTTTCAACTTCTGGGTTTGATTTCTATATGTATTTGACAGAATCCCACAAGTCCTATATAGAAGACTGAAATGAAAGGGAATGAACACATCTAACAATCAATAACTCAATTCTGCATTTAGACCATAAACGATATTCCATCCAACTCTTGTGTCATCAGTAACAAGTTTTAATGTGTCAATTCAGCATTAATATCTACAGCAACACTTGAACCAGTAGCCAACAAATTACACTTCCGTCAAAAGCAATTCACCATTCTCAACTGTTCAACGTGTCATGCTAAACCAAAAAAGTTCAGTTTGATGCAGGCCATAAGAATTCATAATAAAAGAAGAAAATAAATAAGCCTTGACCAAACAGGTTAAGATGCTCAACAGATCAATTAGTTGATCATAGAATTCCCAATTCTATGACTGGAAGAACGTAACCTTAAGCATCTAAGTTGTTGACCACCCACCCGAGAAACAAAAAACAAATTCCCCTATCATTTAAACGCTAAAAGCTAAAACTGCATAAACTACATTTAAATCCAAGATACTATTACTACCCAGATTATTTATCTTACTTAAAAGTAATAAAAATCGATACTTTTTTCTTTCTTAGTTTTTTTTTTTTGAC